CTTTTCATTTACAAAGTATGTCAGATACAACATCCAAGTTAGTTTATCTGTCATTTATGACCTAAGAAATTATTTATATGCCATAAACATATTCATTTCTGTTATAGGAATGTCAATATTACAGTTTGAAAATAGCTCCACTTTTTTTAACATTCTTAAAATTGCATGTTATCATGACATCAGCAGACCAGTTCGGCAGTTTAAAGAAATTTTTATATTTTTACCACATATTCTTACATGTCTGATGTTCAGGTGACAGAAGTTTTGTTTCAGAAACAAACTTCTCCTCAGATTAAAACATATTTTTCTAGAACAAATTGTCATTCTGAAATCAGGATTTTGTTCATTTTAGCACCTTATGAATTTCATACTTTGGGAAATACGAGGCTGAAAGTTGTTACCCCTCTAATGTTATTTTCTTTGTTAACCATATAATGTTACCCCTATAATGTAATATTCTTTTCTAACCCTATAATGTTACCCCTCTAATGTTATTTTCTTTGTTAACCATATAATGTTACCCCTCTAATGTTATTTTCTTTGTTAACCCTATAATGTAATTTTTCTTTTTTAACCCTATAATGTTACCCATATAATGTTATTTTCTTTGTTAACCATATAATGTTACCCCTCTAATGCTATTTTCTTTGTTAACCCTATAATGTAATTTTTCTTTTTTAACCCTATAATGTTACCCGTCTAATGTTATTTTCTTTGTTAACCATATAATGTTACCCCTCTAATGTTATTTTCTTTGTTAACCCTATAATGTAATTTTTCTTTTTTAACCCTATAATGTTACCCCTATAATGTTATTTTCTTTGTTAACCCTATAATGTTACCCCTATAATGTTATTTTCTTTGTTAACCCTATAATATATATATGTTTAGACTGCATGTTTAGATTGATATAATATTTTATAATAATAGATTTTATATTCTTATGATATTATTTGATAGAATATATTTTTGATATAAAATTTTATAATAATATAATATTGATATAATAATTTTGATTAATTCAGATTGCAAACATTTAAATTTAGAGAATTTTATAATTTCATACCTTGGGAAATACAACGCTGAAAGTTGTTACCTCTATAATGTTATTTTCTTTGTTACCTCTATAATGTTACACCTATAATGTTACTTCTATAATATTCTATGCAAATAAACTATTTTTGGTTTCATTTTACCTTTTTTCCAAATAGTTTAGATGCCATGGGCCCTTGAAAATGTTTTTGAATGGATTACAAAATTTTAAACTGAACAAAGAAACTAAGCCAAAAACATTAAAATAAGGATTCCATTAGATTATTTAATGTAAAATACATCAAGTCAAGTATAAATATAAAATAACTTACTATCCCTTTGAACATTTATAGCCCCCTCAAGAAGGGAGGTTCAAAGCAATGCTCTATGTCAACATCCTTTTAAAATTTAGCACCTTCAAATTTTATAAGAATTTGGCTTGTTGACCTCAACTTCTTCTGTGGAACACTGTAAATATTTATTAAACATAACTTAGCCTGGCACAAGGCTGCAAGTTTGAAGTAATGATATTCAAAACTGCTAAACATTGCACAATGGTAGTTGCCTACTTTGCCAAACACAAGACGACATGCAAAGTTTTACTTAACAATAATGAGTGCTGACAATCACTGGGAATAGGCAAGTCTCATAGACATTTTGTTTCAAATGTGGATTTAATTTTAAAGTATCAAAATAGTACAAAATGCTTATTTTTAAGGTTTATATGTATTCACATTACACTTTTGATTTCATATACCCAGCAACATTGATCATTTCAGCATGTATAAATATATATATATATAGATAGATAGATAGATATAAGTTACATAGAATAGAAATTCAAAATTACCCCATTTGAATAGCTATTTCCTCCAACTTACTTGCAAGATTTGTCAACACCGAGGAATGAAGAAATAAAAAAATTTCTTCATTCCTCAGTGCTGACTAATCTTACAAGTTCTTGTAGGGGGGGAAATAGCTATCCAAATGGGGTAATTTTGAATTTATTTATTTATATATGCTCTGTTATAATAAATACATTGAGTTCTCTTTGTGGATCAGTTTTAATATTTTATATTATATTAGAATTCACTTGGATTATATACCAACGGATTATTATCTATATATATATATATATATATATATATATATATATATATATATATATAATACCAATTGGTAATTGGTAGGGATAATTCCAAGGATGACATTAATCCAAAGAGAGCTCAATGTCAGAACAGAGCAATATAATAATAATAAATAACAGAGCAATATAATAATAATAATAAGTAAACAAAATCCTTAAAAATTCATTTCAGTTATAATTTATTTCTAAAAAAAACCTTCAGTTTGAAGAGATGAATATTTAAATATATTCAGGAAATAAATTATAAACAAAATGGATTTTTAAAGATTTCCCTTTACTTATTATTATTATTATTATATATACGTGTGTGCATGTGCATGTGTATGTGTGTGTGTATACACACACACACACGCACACAAACATATACATGGTGCAATGGGTAAATTATTGCTATTTTATATTTTTAATTTTTGTTTTTGTCGACTGCACAG